CACACCGAAGATAGAGCAGAAAGATGTCATACCCTATAACATCAAGATCCAGACATTTGATGAACAATAGGATATGATATCCTTCACCGGCATAAGTCTAGCGGGAGTTGGCTCGAACCACCTCAGTCGGTCGGCGATCCTATGCCCGACAGTGTAATCGTCTTGTGGACAATAAAAAAAATTGCTAAAATCTACTTCAAAATATAAAATACATTCTTCTTTGTAAAACAAAATTTGATAATTTTTTTCGAGATTTATGTGTATGTCAAAAACATAAATTTTAAAATCTGTTTAAATTTTAAAATTTGTTTTAAAATTGGTTGTCCACCTGACGAATACCTATTTAGGCTGGGAAATAGCCCCCTAAGTGAGGTTCAAGACACCCTTCTAGACGAGTGGAGGGCTCTATACTTTCGGGTGACCGAATAGCCTTCGTGGACCCTCGAGAATAAATATAGCTGAGCCTAGCCCCATACGAGTGCTTGCGGTCCCCCCTTCCGAATTTTGTTTCTAGGGTTTAGGGTTTAGGGTTACTTTTGCTTTTTTTCGGGATTTCCCCAGGAGTTTTGAGGATTTTCTTTTGCTTGAGTCTTTTTCGTTGATTTTTCTCGAGTTTCTCCGCTTTTCCTCGGGTTTCCTGGACGACGTTTCTTTCGGGGTTTCCTGGACGACGTTTTTTTTAGACTTTGCTTTTGAGATGCATTTAGGTTTGCTATACTTAAGGAATGGCGGATCTCACGGGCGTTCAGATTTGTTTTACATTTTACAGCAATTAATTTTCCTGTCTTCTACCTGCTACTGCTCTTCCTGTAAAGTATGTTACACTTGTCCTGTTTTCTACCTGCTACCGTACTGTAAAACATGTTACACTTGTTCTGTTACCGTTCTTCATGTATAACATGTTGTACTGCTCCTGTTTTTGTCTGCTACTGTTCCACGTGCATTCTATTATTTGTTTCTGCATCGCACACTTTACTTTTTTATAACTTCAAACATGTTTCCTTTTTGCATATGATGTTTAGAGGACTACAACCATAGAGTCGTTTGATTTAACACTATAACTGGACACCCTAGAAAACTTAAACTCGTCATGGCAAGAAATTTGGAGCTAACACCATGGGCAGCACGGCCATCTTCAACAGCATAACACGTCTTCCCCAACTAAACCAATCTTCCTTCCATCGACTTAGACAACAAAACCATAAGACTTCAAGGTTTCTTGCTTATGCAACGTAAATCCTCATCTTATCCTTAGGCCTTGGTATAGTTCTGCTATACAATATAAAACCCTAACTCATCTTAAGATTCTGAGGTTGTCATTTGTCACGGCCTAAATCCTCATATCTTTCAAGCTATTTGTGTGATCATTTCTCAAATATAAACCCTAACTAAATAAAATTTGCAGGATGAAACACTTTAATAATTTCTTTTTAAAGCTGAAGCCAAACCATAGGATAGACTGAGAACCTACTGAGGTTCGCCTCAGGATCTGTGGCTTCCTCTAATTTCTCTTCATTTGGATTCCTTAACAATGTCTCAGATTTGAGTTTTTCCCTCTTCACACCTCTTTGTCCGATTTCGTTGTAAAGTCCTATCCTTTTGACCTCTTTGAAGACATTATTCCCTGATTTTTATCGAGAGTTTTCTTAGGTGACTTCGGTCATTTAAGATGTAATTAACTATAGAGGTTTGCCCTTATAGGAAGCTTTTTCGAACCCAGCTTAAAATAAACCCTATTTAAT